GATGCAGGGGACACGGGTTCGTGCCCCGGTCCGGGAGGATCCCACGTGCCGCGGGACGGCTGGGCCCATGAGCCATGGCCGCTGTGCCTGCGCATCCGGAAGCCTGTGCTCCGCAACGGGAGAGGCCACAACAGTAAGAGGCCCGCGTACCGCAAAAAAAAAAAAAAAAAAAAAAAAAAAGTCGGGCAAGACATAAGAGGGCGTACTCCAAAGCTGCTCTTCCCCGCTCCAGTCAGTTTCTCTAGAATATTTTCACACTGTTCAGTTTGTCCTACAGAACAATCACACAGCATTTGTCAAGTACTGAACGTGCGTGGTATTGGCTACACCTGCCTGGTTCCTGTCCCATGTCATTACACAGTCTTTCCTATTCAGCTATATCTATGCAGATATGCCACACCCATGGCTCCTACCACCCGGTACGACATTTCTATCAGGCACCACAAGACAAATCTCCTCTCCTTAACCTTTTCCTTTGGAGCTCAAGGTCAAGGTTTTCAGCAACTTGGTTTGAAGTTTTCCATGTTTCAGTTCTCATTCTTACAGAACTGCCAGCCAGGGAAAACGATTGCTGAAAATAATCTCTGGCAGGGGCACTTTTTTTTCTTATGAAGTTTTAAAGACTTTTTTTCACATGGATGGAGATTTTTAACCCAGACGCAAGGTAAAAATTTTACCTATAGAATTAAAACCCCTTTAAAGCAGGGAAAACACGCCCACAGGTAGCCCCTCCTTCACCACTGCAGACACACAATGTCCCTTTGCAACCGAAATCTATTTTCTGGGTGAGAAGAGAGAAGTCTATACAGCTGAACATTTATGTGTTAGTCCATCTACAGTCAAAGCTGCAGGTTGAAAATAACCTGAAATCCCTTCCATAGAATTATCTGCATGACTGCACATGCCTGCTGCACAGCCCCTCCTTCCCCATCATCCTTTCATTAACATTTCATTTTTCTGGCGTAAGTCCTCTGTGTTACATCTTATACTTAAGTTTGGTCTACGATCATTTCAGGCCATGTCAAAACTTTACATGGGGCTTCCCCGGTGGCGCAGTGGTTGAGAGTCCACCTGCCGATGCAGGGGACACGGGTTCGTGCCCCGGTCCGGGAAGATCCCACATGCCATGGAGCGGCTGGTCCCGTGAGCCATGGCCACTGAGCCTGCGCGTCCGGAGCCTGTGCTCCGCAACGGGAGAGGCCACAACAGTGAGAGGCCCGCATACCGCAAGAAAAAACAAAACAAACTTTACCTATGTGGTTGACCTTGTAAATATCAAATCTGTGCCTCTTCTCTGCTTTTCTTTGTCCTACTTCTAGTTCTCATCACCCCTCATCCAAACCACTGCAATAAGCCCTTTAGCTGACCTTCCTGCCTTCAATCTCTCTGCTTTATAACCAAACTTCATTACTCAAAGATTTCTGCAAGTCTGATCAAGTTAGCCCTGTCCTTCAGCAGCTCCCCATCACAGACAAAAACAAATGCTATGCCTTGGCCTATCATTCCTCAGCAAACCACACCTTGAACCCTACCTGCTCTTTTTCCTCCTCCTGCCACCTCCCCATAAGTCATGTAGAAAAACACACACAGAAAAACACCAACCATTGCCAGAACTTCATGCCATGGTCTTTCTTGTCTCTGGGGTTTGCACATGCCCTTGTTTCTACCTGGAATTCTCTTTCCCACTTTTGTCTACTGAACCTCTACTCATCATTTCAGGCTAAATTCAAATGTCACCATCCCATTAAAGCTGCCTGTCCTGGCCTTCCCAGTGGCCAGATGTACTCCACCCTGTTTTTCAATAGTACTTTTCATAAACCAATTTTTTTTTTTTTTTTTTTGCGATACGCGGGCCTCTCACTGTTGTGGCCTCTCCCACTGCGGAGCACAGGCTCCGGACGCGCAGGCTCAGTGGCCATGGCTCACGGGCCCAGCCGCTCCGCGGCATGTGGGATCTTCCCGGACCGGGGCACGAACCCGTGTCCCCTGCATCAGCAGGCGGACTCTCAACCACTGCGCCACCAGGGAAGCCCATAAACCAATTTTATCACTTCAAATGCAGCACTGTAATGCTTTCTTGGATTTATACTTTACTGTATAGGACTTTCTTTTAAGGGCAGGAGTTATGTTAATTATCCTATTTCCAGGGCATAAGATAAGGCCTGATGCATAGCAGGTTATTAATTACTTGTTGAAAAAATGAAAATTATTATCGCATCCAAAACACTGCAGTTAGAAGCCTGTGAATAAGAGTCCTAGACCATCTCCCATAAAGAGAAATGTTCAGGAATATCATGGGGAATGTAAACAGTTTCCTAAATACTGAAACTGTGAAACACACTGAATTCAATAATGACCTTTATTCTTTTCCATGTTTAATACTGTTACTTCCAATCTTCTTGTGCATAATACTCACTGAGGACAAAGGACCAGAAATAGCTTGTTTAGCCCAATAGTACAGATGTTCCAATGTCATTTTCTTATAATACACCTGCCTGGAAAGTGCGTTAGCTATAGTTCACTTTCCATTGTTGTGTCTTTATTCCCTGAATGGTAGTTATTTGGGGGGCATATCCTCTCAACTAGGTTATAAGCTCTTTCAAGTGAGGCAGAGTTTAAATATCTTTGTTCCCAGAATAGTGTCTGCCGCACAACAGGTATTCAATAAACACCTGATGAATGATTTACAAAACATTAATTCAGGAAACACTGAATCAAAACATTAGATTTTGAAAATGATAACTTTGGACGGCAACGTTTTCCATCTTAAACTAAAAGGTTTCACTTTGCAAAACTAACTTAGTATTAAACTCTTCATAGCAAGCACACATTGGTAGGTATAGCTGAGTGCAAAAACCCAGAGGTAGACAACTTAGGTGCCTAGCAGTACAACATACCTATCTCAAGAGAACCACACCATGCATGTGAAGTTGCAATACCTCCACCTATAAAGCCAGTGCTATAAACTACTTTGCCTGGTGTTTGGAGGCTGGCAATATCTGTATCTTTTGAATTATCTCCCCAACAAATGCCTGACACTTGAGAGATTGTGAATGTGGTACAACAAGGCAAATTGAAATTAAATCATTGAGCAAAGTTACTGGTTAGTGCGAGAAGTGAATTCCAAGATCATGGTTTCATTAGCTTAGTCAACTATAGAGAGCCCAGCATCTTTGTCAGATGCAGTTTTCAGGTGTTCAGTTTTAGACAGCAACGGGACATAAAGAAATTGCAAAGACAAATGGATTCGATAGAAAGTCAAAATTAAGGAGTTTGGGCATATTCAGAAACACTGGCAGAGGCTAAAACAAAGGGGTCCCCAGAAAGGACATCACCCAGAGCTTAGAACTGCTTCTGGTGAATTCTCACGTTTAATTTACAGAGAGAAATTTCTGAAGAGGAGCCATGGGAGACTGAACAATTTCAAGGGATCAGAAATCCGGGACCAAAGCACTTCGAAAGTGTCTACTTTGCTTATATCTGTGCATCTCCTCCGGTGTGGATGTTCTAGGTAGAGAGAGGGGACCAAGGTGGCCTCCACCTCTGCTCTCTTAAAGCACATGATCCAATAGCTCTAAGTGGCACAGCAGGATGAGGGCCAAGAAGGAGCCATAGTTTGGCTCTAATGTGGTCTCTTGTTTCTCTGAGGTCACCAGTTTCACCGGAATATTCTGGGCCTTTTATTTTTTGCAGGTTGGGCTGGGGAGGAAGGAGGTTGATATCAAGTAAAAGGTAATGGAGGCCTATGATTTAAACCTATCGAGATATTTGGCCAAAAATAGTGAAAATTAAATGGAAATGGCTTTCAGAAGTGATGCTGTTCTATCTAGATAAGGATCCTGGAAGCGTTTTGGGGTTAAGAAGCCAGAGGAAACGAAGGGACGAGAGGAAGGGATTGGATACTTCTGTGAGCCTGGGATTTCCCCTGGGATGGGGCGTGGCAGAAGTTCTAGCAGAAGGAGAGGATTCACATTTGCAAGAGAGAGCTGTCTTGTCCACAGAGCCCCGAAAAGGCCTCCCTTGGTGGTTCCCAGACATGACCGTACATTAGAACCTCCCGGGAGCTTTTTAAAAACCTAATGGACTCGGTAGCTCCCCCAGAGAGTCCGATTTAATTAGTCTGGCCTAGCGACAGTATTTTAAAAATCTGCCCAAGCAATTAAGTATAGCAGCAGTTGAGAACTAACCAATGGGCTAGATAAATACAGAGATATGGGGGTGGGGGGGAGGAAATAGAATAAACCACTTTCCACTTTTTTTCCCAGAATTAGGTGGAGTTTCCAAAAGTGTCACATGATCACCAGTGGCTCTTGAGATGGAATTTGATTTGATAGCACATGGCTAGGCCTTCTTTGCATATATATACATATATGTATGTCACAGTTTTTACATATATACATATATATGTAAACATATAAGTATCTATTTGAATAAATATTAGAAAAATATGACAGCATAGCAAATTTGAGAATTCATGTTTTTATTGCTTAGGATGAGGCTAAGGTAAGGTACTGAAGCTCAGAAAGTGAATGCATTTGAAGTGCACAATCTGTAAATTCTAGAACAGGTGAATGTGGCAGGCAAAAACTTCTAACAGAGGCAGGCAAACAACTGGAGTCTGAGGAACACGGAACTAAAGTAGCCCAGAGCCTATAAAATCCTTCTTCCCAGGCTTCACTGCTCTCAGGCTGTCCCCCTCCCCACAGTGGGGCTGCCCACCCAAGGCCACCCTCTCCCCGCTCTTCTCACCTGGATGCCCGCACCTCATCCCAAGCATTCAGATGCTTCCGAACTGGGCTCAGACTCAAACCAGTTTCTCCTAGCCTCGCAGTCACCATCCGATTACTGATGTCATAGCCGGTAACTCACTTGTCTCCTTTTTCAGATTCAAATCTGAGCTAAACTTAACTTAGGGTGCCTTAGCAAAATAGGGCGGAAAACCAATGCTCACAAGGCGTTCCAGCCCCACAAGCACAAAAGTGAAACCGAAGCGACCCAAATCCAGGTTATGCAAACTCAAAGGTGTGGGTGTGGGTGAGGGGGACGATATGCAAACTCCAAACCGAGCAAACAAAGCCAGCCGGCAGGAAAGGCACTGACTGGCAAACGTTTCACTCTGTATTTGCCATTCTCAGGACATGATGTAACCTCAGGTTGCCCAATTTATATTTGCACATTTTCCCCAGCGAGCTTCAAAACCTCCCAACTCCATTAAAGTGCCTTTTTAAAAGTTCACGTCTGCAGCCCAAGAAGCCTGCACGACAGGCCGTGACCCGACGGTCACCTAGGCCCAACCAAGTGCGCTGAGAGGGTTTGGAGTTGCAAAGGTAGACTCGGAAGGGAGAAGGCGCAAACGCAGGCGGCGAGGAGCTTGACAGCCACGTTTGTACTTTTACCCTACCATTCTCAGCCCACTTGATTAGACACTGCCCAGGGCACCGTATGGGCTTCACCTTTTCCCTGCCCTGCCTCCTGAGCCCCGCTGCTCTCCCCAATCCAAAGGGCGCTCATAATGGTAAAAGGAAAAAAAAAAAAAAACCCACGTCTTCTAGCCCTCCTCCTCCGCTTCCTGGTACCTCCTGCCCCTCCTTCCACATCCTAGCGGCCTCCTGGTCACCCGGTCGTTGGCTCCACCTTGCAGCACCCAACAAAATGGCAGGTAGCATCAGGCGAGGCCGAGAGCGCCGGCACCCGCTCCAGCCCAGCGTGGCCCCCGGCCAAACCGCCGGGGGTCTCTGACAGTACCCCAACTCCAAAGAGCCTTCTCCTCTCAGAGTCCCCAATCCTCGGCCCGCGGGGCCTCCTGCTCGCTCTCCCGGGACCATTTCTTTCGCCAGCGGAGGAGCAGGTGCCAGCGTAACAGGTGCCAGGCGAGAGGGCCAGGGCGGTGGCGCCGTCGCCCGGGTGCGGGCTGCGCTGGGCATCGGGAGGACCCCGGGAGGGGCGCAGGAGAAGCCCACGCCGGGGGGACGGGAGCTGGGGGCCGCGCAGAAGGACGCAGCCCGGGGGGCAGGATGCAGCTGCCAGTTCTCGCCACCCGGGGCGCGACCCTCGCCCAGGCTGCCCCACTTACAATCTCCAGGCAGACGAAGGCGCCCGAGTAGGTCCGCAGGATGTCGGGGCCGACGGGCAGGGTGACCCGTGGCGCCGGGAAGGACACGGCGGGGTTCGCGGGCGGCGGGACTGGCGCTCCGCCGGCCGACATGCTGCCGCTGTCGCTACTGCGTCTCCGCGCGCCGCCGCCACCTCCCTCCGCCCGCCTCCGCCTGCCTCCGCCTCCCGGGCTCCCGCCGCCGCCGCCGCCGCTGCCGCCGCCGCTGCTCGGGTCCGCGGGCTCCGGGCGCGCCGCCCGGGAGGGGGGCGTGGCAGCGCTGTCTTCGGCCAGGCGGGGCCCCGCCCCGTCACGTGGGCCCAGGTGAGCGCGCCTCCGCCCCGGCGCCCGCGCGGGTCACGTGCACAGGTGCGGCGGCCACCTGGCCCGGTCCTTCCTGCTCTGTTCTTCTGGTGCCTTTTGCCGGCCAGCGGCCAGCGCTCCTGGAGCGTCTCGACGCCCGGCTCACCGCTCCGCTCTTTATTTTTTCCTTCTTTCCCTCCCCTGGTTTCCACCTATTCTCTTCCACCTGTCCTCCCCCGCAACTCTCACAGCTCCCCTACCCCACTTCCCTCAATTTAACTGCAAGACTGGTCTTGGAGCTGTGACTCAGAAGGTGAAATCAAGGTCATCAGTCACACCTAAAAAGTGGAGTGGATCAGCTTAAAATGGGACTCTTGTGGGATTTTAAAAACACCACTAGAACAGTGTCGCCTACTGAAGTCAGATGGGTCAGCTCCAACATCTATTGGCAGTGTATGCCGGGCAGGTAACCAAACGCTGTGCGCGCCAGTGGTGTGCTCATCTATGAAATGGGGCTGAGGTTATCTACTCCGTATGGATACCCGAATTACATGATATAACATAAAAAGAGGAAACTCATAGTAAGTGCTCCTCAAATGGTAGCTGATATGATGACTACTATTTTCCTGATTTTTACACATGCACACATCACACTGTTGTGTACACATGATGTTGCATAGGTTATATTTTCCACATAAAACTTATTGATTTCACCTGTCTGAAACTTATGAATTGCTGTTGTCTTTTAAACGCTTAAAAGGCAGATTTTTTTTTTTTTTTTTTAAGGATTCTGTGTATGGTTTGCATTCCCTGCCCCAGTTCATCCCCATTTTATATTTGGTTTTAACGTCAACATTTAATAAGTGAAATAAAGGAGATGAGATTAATTTTCTCAAAGATCAGCTGAAAATAAGCAAAACTACACACAGCAGCATACACATGTAGAGCAGGTTGGAAAAAAGATTAGGCAACATCACCAGACATTCTCCAAGTTGAATAATAATCTTGTCTGTCAGGTTTAGCCTTTGAGGAACTGTGTTCAGCTGTATGCGCTGGTCATCAGATTTTAGTCATTCTACCTCTTTATTATTTTAATAAGCGAAACTCGTAGGTGTGGTGGTAGCATCAGGGTAGATACCACAAAACAGGGTGTGAGTGAAACGTTTTGTGTAAATCTCTGGTCTTCCCCACCTCTAAAAATCATCACTTCTTGACATTCAATGTGTGGTATTTATTTAATAGGAAATTTCGTTTGTTGATCAATGAACCCTCTCTGTGTTTAGATCCAGATTGTCAGGGAATGATCTTTCGTGATTGTTTTATTTTATTTTCTGCCCAACAGCTCTCAATAAACAAAGTACATCCAAAAGGAAGACATCTTCAAGTTCTTTACCCTGAAAATGTGCAGCTATAGTGATGGACCCCCAGAATTTCAATGAATAAGCCTACAATGACTTTGAAGTTCCCAGAAGTGCTCAGTGACTCAGAAAAGCCTCAACTGTGCTTGTCTTAAAAATTACCACCAAGGGGAAAACTTCACTGTGTCCCTTCCAGCACCCTCCTTGCTGCACCATGCATCCCCCACCATCCCCGACTCTACCTGCTTTCTACCTGCTTCCACAATGACCAGTGGATTAAAAAAAATATCGTTGAAGCCTCTCCTATTATTGTAACATACTATTTTAAAACGTTACAATAATAAAAATGCATTCCTCTCTAGAATGATTTTCCACTCTCATGACCAGTACCAAAACCTGTTTACTCTTTTTTTTTTTTTTTTTAACTTATTTTTAGCTGTGTTGGGTCTTCATTTCTGTGCTAGGGCTTTCTCTAGTTGCGGCGAGCAGGGGCCACTGTTCATTGCGGTGCATGGGCCTCTCACTATCATGGCCTCTCTTGTTGTGGAGCACAAGCTCCAGACGCTCAGGCTCAGTAGTTGTGGCTCATGGGCCCAGTGGCTCCGTGGCATGTGGGATCTTCCCAGACCAGGGCTCGAACCCGTGTCCCCTGCATTGGCAGGCAGATTCTCAACCACTGCGCCACCAGGGAAGCCCCCAAAACCTGTTTACTCTTGATGATACCAATTTCCTTCTAATGGAGGGCAACAGCTCTGGAATCAAATAAAGAAAAGCACTCATCCCATATCTCTCTCCTCCTCCACACAGTCGACTGTGAGCTCTTCACAGCTTCACTTTTCTGCTCTTTCCCCATCCTGTTTCCATGGTTTACTGACTTTCAACATGACATTTACCTTGCTCACAGACTTCCTTTGGACCCCATTTTTTGGAATGTCATCATTCCTATTCATGACACTTTCAACAATTTTGCCTTACAACCACTTGCTACCTTCAATGAGCTGAAATCACATCTGGACCCACCATATTGCCTGGAGCTTCACCAGCACTATTCCCTTGAATGCTGACGTCTTCTGTCCATCTAACTCTTCTTCCTTTCTCAGTCCATTGGCCTCCAGCCTTTCATTCCCTCCTAATTCTCTCATTGGCCCCATTCTGGCTTTTCTGGTTTCTATCCATCCCGTGCTTATGAGAATGCATTTTAGAGATACTTGTAATAGTCCCAGATATTGCCTCCCATTTTATACTTTACTATAAATTTATCCACACTGCCCCATGTTCTGCAGCATGGATTCAATCCATCATCTGCATCTGCTCTTTGATTCTACTCTCACACTGCCTGAAAATATGTCATAATTAAGACTTTTGTTTCCATTATTAATTCATGTTATCTAATCTTGACTTAGGGATTCTGAGGTATCAATTTCCTCCACCACCTCTCCCCACTCTTTTTCTCACTTATTAACCCATACCTTCTTTCACTGTGCCTGTCTTTGTGCTTGGCACAAGTAGACAAGAAGTTCAATGTATGAAAGCAAATCTAAGCCATTCCAACCTTCCCTACTTACTTTACAAGGAGTTTTAGGATATCTAACAGTGATCCTGTTTCATTGAAAACAGGACCATCAATCCAGTTATCTAACACAAACATCTGGGTGTTTCCCTTGATAGTCACATACTTAACCAGTTATAAGGTCTGGCAGTCCTACCATCTTATTCTCCAGGATATATCCATTGGGATCTCTCCATTCCCATGTTCTCACTCTATCTCAGGATGCTATTCCTTCTCACGATGAATACTTTAGCAGTCTTGTTTCCCTCTCTTGTATTTTCTACACTGCTATCAGAATGATTTCTAAACACAAAGTTGATTGCAGTCACACCTCTACTTAAAACTCCTCTAGGATTCCCTACTGTCTCAGGATCTATTTCAAACACCCTGGAATGCATTCAAGGTATTTCTGGGGTATAGCTTCTGATGCACTCTCTTACCTCCACCAGACCTATTAATCCACCTACAGTTCCAATAACTCTCCTGCCTCCAGACCGTTACACATTGTCTTCCCTCTAATGGAACATGCTTTCTTCTTACCACCCTACCCCATATCTATTTTCTGGATAATTCCTTTGGGTCCTAAAGGCAAACTCATTATGGCAGCATTTCTCTGGCTACCGAAGATTATGTAGGGTTCCCTCCCACCCAACGTGTTTCCCTAACCTGATGTGCTCACTCCACGTAGAACACTTGCTTCACTAAATTGATATTATATTTTCACTTGTCTCATACCCCTTAGCTAGATTCTAGGATAAGAATCAACCATGATAAACAGACCAAGAAATGATACACATGATTATATTAGTAGAAAGAACATTACGACAGTTATTATAAATGTATTCCATATTTAAAAAAATAGAGTGAGATTGAGCATGTCATGTAAAAAGGACCCAAACTGAACTTCTAGATATGGTAACGACAGTGTCTGCGATGAAAAATACTTTGCAGAGGATTAGCAGCAGTTTAGGCACAGAAGGGAATATCAGTTTATATGAAGACATAGAAATAGAACATAAAATGAAACACACTGAGTAAAAAAAAAGACTAAAAAATGGACAGCGTAGTGAGCAGTGGGATACTCTCAAATGTTTTAATATATTTGTAATTAGTTTCAGATCTAATAAATTCAATCTAATAAATTCAGTGAACCCCAGGAATTAGAAACATGAAAAAATCTACAAAAAAAAATCAAATTTCTTAAAAACAATAATAAAGAGAAAATCTTCAGGGCTTCCCTAGTGGCACAGTGGTTAAGAATCCACCTACCAATGCAGGGGACACAGGTTCGAGCCCTGGTCCGGGAAGATCCCACATGCCACAGAACAACTAAGCCCATGCACCACAACCACTGAGCCTGCACTCTAGAGCCCGAGAGCCACAGCTACTGAGCACGCGTGCCACAACTACTGAAGTTTGCGTGCCTACAGCCCATGCTCCGCAACAAGAGAAGCCACCGCAATGAGAAGCCTGCGCACTGCAACAAACAGTATCCCTGTTCACCGCACCTAGAGAAAGCCCAAGCACAACAATGAAGACCCAACGCAGCCAAAAATAAATAAAATAAAAATAAACAAATTTTTTTTAAAAAAGAGAAAATCTTCAAAGTAACCAGCATAAAAAACACATGACATACAGAGAAACAAAGAATGGAAACAGACTTCTCATTGGAAGCAATGCAAGCAAGAAGAGAGTAGAACACCACCCGTAAGCTACTAAAAGAAAAAAAAAGAGGGAAAAAAAACAACACTGTCAACCTAAAATTCTATTTGCAGTAAAAATGCTTTTCAATAATATTGTATAATAAGCACACCACAGTAAGAGTAATCAGAAGAAAACCTGAGGGGCTATATTAATATCAGATTAAATAGGTTTCAATGCCAAAAAAGTTATCAGAACTAAAGAGGGTTATTTCACAATGATAGAAGGGTCAATTTATCTTGAGGACTTAAAACTCCTAAATATTTGTGCACCGTATAACAAAGTTTTAAAAATAAGTGATGCAAATTCTAGGTAAATGGCAAATTGCTTATAACTCTGTATATTCCAACCTCTGTGCCTTTGTTCACACCTCCGATTGTCCAGTCCCTTGAATAATCCCTCCTACAACCTTTGAATCTATGCTTCAAGCTTCTTCCTGAAAGTCAGCTCTTTCACAATGCCTTCAGTTCTCCTTTTGACCTATCTTTCCAACATCTTTCATGTTCTATCTTATGTAATCGTCATTCATTAGTTCATATACATATACATATGCACACACGCACATTCATAGATAGATGTCTGTGTATGCACACAGGTTAATTCATTATAAATATAATCTTTCCTATTGAGGATCATGTTTGTGATTTTCCTTTGTATGCCCTACTGTCTCCTACCCTCTCTATCATTTAGGCACAGTGCTTTGCACATGTTAATTCACTCTTTCATTCAGCAAATTTATTTTCTATTTACTATGTGACCAACCCATGCTAGGCACTAGAGATACAGTGGCACATACAATAGATGGAATACAAGTCTTCTTCAAACTTAGAGTTCAGTGGAGGAGGCAGACATCACTGAAATAAGTATTTATTTTAAATCATAAGGCTATAAAGAACAAGAATGTTTTTTCAGGGTCCTAAGTTGCAAGCAACAGAAAACTAACCTGGCTGACTTACACAGAAATAGAATTTATCGAAAAGATGTGATAGTTTATAGATCTGGCAGGAAGTTTGGGTAACCACTCTCAGAAAGTGGATTGGAATAAAGGTGGGTGCATAGCCAAAGCCATGCCCCGAATTAAGCTGCAGACCTAGTCCAGTGAGGGCACTACTTGCGAATCCATTAATCGCTGGAATCCATGACTTGGCACGCCTTACATTGGCAGAACTGGATCAAGGATTCTACCATCAGCACCAATGCTCTTGATGCCTCTGTGATCCCTCAAAACTGGATGTCAGCATAGCCACTCTCACCATTTTGGAATAAATCCTCTTTTGTTTATGCTTCTTTGGGTTACTAGCTTCTCATTTGAACCTGGAAGCAGGTGTATATAATTTGCTAAACCTAGTCCATTCATCTGCACTCTAGCTGAAAGGAAATCTAAGAACGTGAGGGTTCCATAGTGGGAGGTGGGCTCTCTCTCTCACTATAACTCATACTTCAGGAAATTGACCAAATGGGAAATTGGTTCATCTACAGCACAGCCCAAAAGACCTTGACAAATGTTTTCTTTATGTATTGAGTGTATGCAAGTAAATTACAGAGTCTTCTAATGTGGGAAGTTGGGGAAATCTTTGATGAGTAAGTGGCATAATCATAAACCTGAAAGCTGAATAAAAGCTGGCTTGACCTATGGGTGGAGGAGAAAAATGTTGTTAGAAACAAAGGGAAGAGCATATGTGAAGACCCTCCTTGAAGAAGGGGTTGGGGTTCAGAAACTGAGTGAAATCCACGGACTTTGAGATGAAGCCAGGGAGTTAGGGAAAGGTCTGGTTTCTTTCCAGGCCCTTCTAGGCCGTGCTTAAGTCTATGAACTTTATCCTAATAACTCTATAAGGACAGTGCAAGGTTAGAGCACAGGACTAAACTTATGAAGCACAGCTTTAAAGAGGTAACTCAGGGTTCTAAGTGAAGAATAAATTGACACTCAAATGTTGAAACCATCCAACAATAAATGGGCAAGCAGTGGGGTGAGGGAGTAAAATTAGAAAACTTTGGAGTGAAAAGACTTGCTTATCTTGGACAAATCAATTAACTTTCCTGAGG